TCTTAAAATTCTCTTACTTCATTGTCTTCTCATATTCTCTCAATATTTTGTGTTCATCTCTTTTAAATCATCCCACTCCCTTTAATTAAACAATTCGCTCCCTTTACCACCTTCGCTTATTCTTGCAATCTTTATCTGAGTCTTCCTTTCAAATTGTATCACTCTATCATACATCTCTTTCATGACACATTTCTCTCACTTTACATCAATATCTTCTCACATTCTCTCACTCTTTATCTTTTCCTTTCGAGTTATTTCACTTAATTATATATCTCTTTCATTGCAACTTCTATCAATTTCTCTTCTCCACTCTTTTTTATGTGCTGTGTATCTCTCTTCTTCTTACTCAAACAAAAACAATTGACAGGATAGTAATTGAAACTAATTATTGCACGTCAAACAAATATTTAATCACTAATGCTACTATTTTAATGACTTTACAAAATGAATCATCCTGTAAAATTGACAACTCCCATTGTTTCAAGTTTGCCTATTTACATCAGCTTTACTTATAGTAAATATTATTATTAGCTTAGAAATAATGGTTATGGTCAAAACAGTAATCTTAAAAAAAAACTTCAGGCAGTTCTGAAAATGCAAAAGCACTGTTCATTACAATTGCAGACCCATTCACTAAACTAAAATATGCCCTTTTACCCTCACTATCGACAATATTTCCACGATGCATTATTTTATGATAAAGACGGTATTTATCTTGCCTTCATTGTTAAAAAAAAGCTCATGAAAATAAATAATCTAATTCGCTTTTAAAATGTGTATTTCTTTCAGGTCATGATCGGTCATGTTCGTGTTTGATATTTTGATACTAACGGTTTTACTCTTTCACACAAATCTGGCACAAACGGATGTTAACATGGCATTTCAAAACGATGTTGCTCAGTAATCAATGTATCATTGGAAAGCTTATTACTTCTACTCTATGGAAACAAGGCATCTTATTATACTCCTCATAGATATTCACAAGATCTATTTGTTTTCGAGTTTCATTATTTCTGGGACGCAGTGTATAGTTAATAACTTATAAACCAACCGTCTTACTTGAGATTTCACACCAAAACCATATTTGTTTTACCTTAAGTTTGGAAGTTAAAATATTGACTTTTATCTCTCTTTATTACTTTTCCTTGACTTGAAATACTTATATATCATGATGGCATGTATTGTATGACATTATCATTAAATAGATGCATTTATTCATTGTATTCGATGTATTCCCTTAATGATTGTGAAATATAAATAAGATAAACTTGAAACTTAAAACAAGTAATAATGTCATAAATTGCCGTGTATTCTGACACATTGACGTTTGTTTTCGTTATTCACTTGTTCTATTCGTATCTGAAGTATAAGCTCATTACTCGAAACCACAGACAGATATGTATATTTATATGTATATGCATATGTATATGTATATGTACATGAGTATATGTATTTACATGTACATGTATAAGTAAGTATATGTATACAGGTTTTTATATTTGTATCATAGACCTTATACAAACTCTACTACACAAACTGCACTTTTATGTTGTAATCAAATATCTTTGACGTTTCATCATTTCATAAAGCACTACCTAATATTATACAATGAAGTTTGAACAAAGTCTTTAGGCAATGAAAATGAGATTCTATAAAACACAAAAAGAGCAAACCGCCACTAATGCTCATGATCAATATGATTATTTCAAATTGCTTGAATGTAAAGATGAAAAGTGCTCCGTCTTTTAAACATCATAAATTAACACCTCTGTAACAATCTTTTCAGTGCTCTTCGTGTGAAAATTAGTGCATGGAACGACAAAAATCACAAACTTAAACATTCCTACAGTTGCGAAAGACTTATACACACAATGGCAAAGCAACGCAAACCTGATTTTACATGTATCCAGTGGGGCAACCAGGCGGTATGGAAAATTGAAAGAAACAAATCTTTTTTTATATCCCCATTTCTTTCTCGCATATGAATCTTAATTGTGTGGAGCAACTCGCACGCTCTTGATTACTATAATATCCAATCAACAAATACCAAAACTTAATTCGAAAACATTTAACATTATTATTGGACGATTCAGTGTTCAAATTGCTATATGTAAGATTTAGACTTGAGCCGGTCAGCCCGATCCAGTAGTTATTCAAGCCTAACCAGGTGTACAAACCATGCCTCACAATGAAGTCCTGTTCCTCTTTCGACTCGATGAAGACCAGATGGGATCCGTATTGGGAACAAGCTGAAACCGCAGAAGCATGATCCATCTCCCAAGTGCTGAAATTGTAGAACGACCCGCCGAATTCACATTCCACCGCAGGGGATGAGCACGCTGAAAAGATGAAAAATACAATATGTAAATTGCTCAATTTTAAGAAAGTAGACAAAGTGATTATTTGGGTAGAATCTGAAATATTCAAAGAAAAATAGATAATAATTATGATGATGACGAAAATAATAATAATATTGATAATGAAACAATAATACTAAAAG